AAGTGCAGTGGATTTTTTTAAGAGTGCCAAAATCTGGGAAGAGTTAATTTGGAAAATTGCTTAGCAGATTGCAAATGGTGAATAAATTATTGCAAAAGGGAAATTTTGAAACACCTCTGGTGGTAAATTTTCACCTAAGGAAATACAGAATATACAGCATCATGCTCATGAAAACTAAGGAAATACTTGCCTGTAAGTCATATGAGGGAATTAGGATTTCTCTCCTTCTTTACTATTTTCATTCTAAATTTATATGTAAAATTATCTTCCACCATTTCCTTTCTACAGTAAAGATGTAATTTCATGTAACTTTATCAGTAATTAAGCTATGTATTTCAACCTTTTTTTTTTATGTTTCCTGGCTGGGTCCTGCTCTTGCAGGTTTGTCCAGGACAGTTGACTATGATGAGCATTTGTGAAGCTTGGCTTTGATATGGATGCAAGGAAAAGGTTTTGGTATGACCTCTAAGCAACAAAGAATCTGGCAAGAACATACTTCATTGTTGTGAACTCAGCTGGCTTGGAGAGGTGTCTTTGACTCTGTAGTTGTCATTTCATAGAAAGAATACCCCTCAGTGGACGTAGCTCTCTCTCAGTGCTTACTGCTTGCTCTTATAAAAGTTGCCATTAACCTGAGATATATGCTGTACATTTCCAGGAATGTTGCTCAGCTGATTTATTGAGATGGTTTTTCTCATCCTCAGGTTCTTGCTCTGGCTTGCTTTCTCTTTTTCCTTTTATCTTTTTTTTTCTCTTTTTCCCTTCTTTTGCTTGCTCTGCTTTCATTTTTTTCTTGCAAAAGTATTTGTAGGACTAGAGATGTACTAGAGCTGAAGATCTATGATTCTGCAACACTGAAGGTTAAATGCAAAATCCAGTGGTTATCCCCATTAACTGAACCATATACCCTAGCACCTGTGCCTTTTACAGGTTCTAGTGGAAGGAAATCTGCTTCTAAGCAGTATACAGCATTATTTAGCAACAATTTCAACCTTGTATAGCACAGGATGGGTTAGCTGTATTCCCAGCACTGGACTTCTTATTGATGGTAGGCTCCTTGGTGACTCTTTTTCTGGGGATCACAAAGTAAATGTGCTCTTTGTTCAAGTGTGATTCTTCATTAGAGTTGCTCTGTATATAGGGCAGAAGGGGAAGGTTTAGCTTTGAATAGCAGCTAGGGATGGGTAAGTCTTAAAAGGTATGGAGATTCAATTCAATTTTAGTCAACATTTAGCTACATAGAAGCTGTCCTAATTGTCTCTCACCCACTTTTTAAAAGACTTTTTAATTATATGGTCAATATCAATATCCTCAGATTCCTTTTGATACCGATTTGCTTCAAAGTTTTGGGAGAAGACATGAGTATTGCAGCAGCTTCCCCTTCTAACCAAGGAGCAGCCTGCTTGAATATCATCTTAACACTAATGCTCAAGACATTTACAAATAATTGTATAGGTTTGGAGCTAATATCAAGGCTAGGTTGGATGGGGCCCTGAGCAACCTGGTTCAATGAAATGTGTCCTTGCCCACAGCAGGGGTACAGTAACTAGATGATTAAGATCTGTTCCACCCCAAACAATTCTATGATTCTATGATGATTCTGTGATTAGCACCTCAAGGTCTACTCAGACAAACAGCTGGTTTGAAAAGAATTGCTTTTCCTTTTGAAATCTTTAGAAGTATCACTCTGAAATGAAGTGCAAAAATAGGAGTACTATCCTATAGTAACCAGTAGCCACTTCAATGCAAGTTGAAGTCCTGAGTTTGCTTTAAGTATATGAGATTCTGCAGTCTCCTGTATCTGAGCAGTCACAGTGCCATGGTTTTTAAGCCATTGACCATTCTGAGGTCTTTATCAGTAAGATAAGATTTGTGTTTTGCTTCTAAGATTTTTTTCCCGAAGAAATCTCCTACTGATAGGGTCAAGTTTCCCATCAGATGTTTGAGCTTTGATGAATCAAACTCTTTAAAAAAAATAAAAGTGGAAAATATGTTTTATCAAATTTTCTCTCTCTCTCTAGTCCAAAAGTCTCAGCTAGCTGTGAGGCAGCTGTGAATTTGTTTTACATCAGAAATATTGCTAATCAGTATTGTGGACACCCTGTCTTGTGTGTGATTCACAGAATGCAGAAGTGAAAAGGTGGAAACTCCATCAGTAGAGGAAATTTAATAGAGAATAGAACATAGGTATGATTTTTCTTACTTAGAGACAATATTTGGAAGTCTGGAGAATATCTAAAGTATTCCAAGAAAATTGGTACAGTGATCTTCTAGGGAAAGGAAGTAGTCTTTATTGTGAATGGCACTACAGCTTTTATTTCAGCATGGAGACTTTAGTTCACTGCAGAGAGTCTGATAATGGGATCCTGTTGCAAATTGGAAACTGTCTCTTAAATTGGATGGTTAGAAAAGACACAATTAAAGCTCTCACTCAGTGGTTTTACACATGGTTCCTACTTGTCTGCCTGTGTTTTCAGGTGATTTGAGGACCAAGTGTGAATCTGAGTGGAGGTGTCAGTGAGACATGAACCATAATGTATTAATTATCTCTGAAATCTTGAAACCAGCCTTTTACTTCTGTCTAAATCTGTCACTGGAAGCAGTAGGTAATAAGCAGCACTTGAAGGGTTGTGTGGGTGTACGACAGCCCTCTGAAAGGAGACGAAAGGCGGTGCAGCCTGAGCACTTGTTTCCTTCCAGAAGAGGGACTTGGGAGCTTATAAGTCAGCATCCCTTGTGCTGCTCCAGGCGCTGAGTTATGATTTGCAGGCTTTTTAATGAATAGTGCTTCCTGACTAGTTCTGGCTTATTCTTCTGAGTGTGTTTTTTTGGTGGTATTACTATGCAAGGGCTTTAGCACTCTTCAGCATAACAAAGCAGGACTTGCAGTGCTAAGATAAGGGTCATGTTTGGAAGCATGATTCTTCGAACCCCACCCCCCTCACTCCCCCAGTTTTGAATTACCATTTTGTTTTATCAGAAATTAAACTGGGATTTAAATTATATGTGAATATAAAGTGTTTAGTAAAAGTTAGAACAAAGAAAGATAATCTGTGTAAGTTCAGCAATATGCTTTCAGTCATTTAAATGGTATTTGTGAAAAAAGCCCAAATTGGCTATATTTGGCTGAAAAAACTCTTTTTAGGGTTGGAGTCAGGGTTGATTTTTCCAAAAGCTTGGTGGTTGAAGCATTCATCTGTGATGCAGAAAATATAGATAAAATACCCACTCTGAGAGGCTTTAAATCCAAGTATCCCTGCCTTGAATCAGATGCTAAGAGGATTGAATTCAATTTACACCCAGGTCAGGTAAGAAGCTTAACCCAACTGATTGCAATGTATCTGGCAACTGACCTACAAACCCCATTTTGGCACATATCAGCATGCAGAGCTGCAGTATTTTTTGTGTCCATATGGGTTTTCCAGCAATATAGCACCTGTATTCTGGACTCTTTGCTCTAGTCCTTGCTGTCATCTTCTCCATCAACAAACACATCCTAAAGTTGTCTGGCTTCCCTTTTTCCCATTTCTTCAACTGAGATGTGTGCATGAGGTAGCTGTGACTTAATACAGTATCATGATGTATACCCAGATTTGGTGTTACATTACTAGCATGATCCTCTCACCTACCTGTGTGTCTGGGTTAATGGGAGCATTTGACACCATGGTTTCTGAGGTGGGCAAGATATGCAACAATGATACTGTCCTGTTTTACTTATTTATAAATACATTTATTTATTCCGTCTCAGGTTAGAGCCTGTTTTCAGCTCTATATAGCCATACTGATGTGAAGGATCTATTTGAGAAATAAGGACCAGCAGTGAAGAAGGTCCTTAAATTCTGACCTGGCTGTGTTATCACAATATCAGAAAAGAATGGATCTTTGTGTTGGTTTTCAAAATACCTTTTTATTTGTGGTGATTACCGTAGTCCTTTAGTAATGTGCTTGTGGTCTTTTCTGGAATACCAGAATTCCTAGTTCTGTTTTTCCCTTCTTCCACCTCCTGGGGTGACCTGTTTTATGCATGGCAACCACTCCATCCCTCCAAAAGCAGCCTTAATATAGACAGCTGGAGGGAACCAGCCATGAAAGAGGAGCTATCAGCTCTCCTCAGAGGGACCATACATACTGTCACTCTCAGCCTTGGAACTAAAGGGTTAGTTTCAGATCTGAGTTTTTTCTTGACATGATGTAGATATCAATAATATTAGATGAAAGAGACTAGAGTAACACTTCAGGCATCTGGGTTTTTCTCCTGAGTCAAACATTTATTTGCAATGTGGCTTTGGACAAATTCACTGTGCCTTGTGTTCCTCCTTTTGAAAACAGAAATAATTCTGCTTTTCTAGATATAATTCTGCTGACTAGAAGGACATGCTATATAAAAGTTTGGCATTATTATATATTTGTTTGTTATTGTTCTGTCTTCTAGCTAGGATGGCAGAGGAATTGTGCTTTTCAATACCATTTGTGCTGTGCTAAATTTACAGATTTGTGCTGTTTCCATTTCTGTGTCATATTCTGCTCTCATGTTCCCCTGAATAGTGAGAGAGATAACTGGGATATGATAAGGTATGTAAAAGAAGAAATACACCCAGGAGGAAAGGGCAGAATTTTGCATGCTGGATATTCTGGTATCCAGGGGAAGATGGCAAACACACCCCCAGGTGTTTGGGTTCAGCTAGCAAGTCAGTCTGAGTAGGCAACTTAAATGGGAAGTGGGGGACCAGTGGGAAGCATGAGGGCCACAAGCCTTGGTGTCCCCAAAGGACTCTTTTCTCAAATGGTTTCTCACCACTTCATTATAAACCTGTTTCCTTTGTGTAGAGGGTTTTGTTTATTCCTTTTTTTTTCTGGTAGTTTCTGATGATGTTATTTTGGGATGACCAAATATGCATTCACCATCATCAGTGGCTTCTTCTCATGTTATTTGTTTCATGTTCAGGGCAACAAGATTAGCAACCAGATTGTAAAATAATGAGCTACCTTGTGTATTTCAGAAACATACCCCTCGCAATATGCATTTCAATGATTATCGTCACAGTTGGCTATGTGTTAACAAACGTGGCTTATTTCACTACAATCAGTGCTGGGGAATTGCTGCTTTCAAAAGCTGTAGCAGTGGTAAGTTACAGAAGAAAAATACAAAGATATATTCCTGCTGCAGTTATATTTGTTGATATTATTCTTATTTTCAGGGGGGAAAAAGATTGGGTGAACAGATACAGTCAGGTTTTAGTATAGCAGCACTCACTAGCATTCCAGTGAAATTTGATTTTTGATGAGTGGGATTGCACTTCAGGCCATTTATAATGTAACTTTGGACTGTATTTATTTACCTCTTACAACAAAGTCAATAGGAGTTACATTTCATAGCCAAGTACATGGTTGAAAAATTCAGTGCTAGATTTTAAGTTCAGCTCCAGGGAAGCAGGAATTGCAAATATTATGGAAGAGAGAGCTCTGAACTATCTTGTAGCAGCATACAGTAACTTTGTTTCTGCACAGTCTGTGTCCTGAGTGCTTGGAAGGGGGCTGCTGTGAATACTGGAGCTCATTTGGGAAGAAATTGCAAGGCAACCTGACTAGGAAATACTGCTTTGATTGTTCTCGCTGAATTGTGGTGATTACACCGATTTTTATATTTGTAGTATCTGAGTCACAATCAGGAAATAAATAATTCCATTTCTTTTCCACTAGTGATACTGCCTGTGTTTATTTCAGTTGATGCGAGTTTTAAAAAATGACCAAATTCTGTAGCTTACAGGAGGTCTAGAAAGAAAGCATTTTATCAACGTGACAAAAATTATGCATGTTGCATGTAGTGCCCCAAACTCCAGTTAAGGCTCTTCTGCTAACCTAAAGCACTAAAGCCTGAATGGATGGACTATACCACTGAGTCATACCAGCTGAGTGCAATGAAGGCTGTAGATGAAAGGTATTTGGTGTGCAGATCAGACCTTGATACATTCAGACTTGGTCTTCTTTGGAGCCATAATGGTCTAAATTGACATGAGTCAGGGCCTGATTCCACCTCCTCATCACTGCTTCAACTGGAGATCTTCCACATGCCATCAGGGATAAGGGTAGGACAGCTCAGCTGTAGTAGCTGTGCTCTCACAGAAGAGGCAACATATGCCCAGCACAATTTTCATCAAGGGATGCAGAGAAGCAGTATAACTAACACCATGATAATTTGTTAATAGAGGACAATTATCTTCCCATTTTATGAAAAGTCATTGTGTGTTTTTCTCTTTTTTCTAACAGACCTTTGCTGAACGACTAATGGGAAACTTTTCTTTAGCTGTACCAGTGTTTGTTGCACTCTCCTGCTTTGGATCTATGAATGGTGGCATTTTTGCAGTCTCCAGGTGAGCACTGCTAATGTTCCTGGGGGTGAGGGCTTGGGAGACATACTGAAAGTATGGAAGCAAGGGGAAGGGAGAGTAGGATTCATTTCTTTAGCAGGATATGATAAATGACTACACTGTTTACCAGGTGTAGGCCTTTTTCTCACTTTTTTTTAAAATTCTTTGAATGGTTTGGAAATTAATCTCTCTGAGGCTAGCCCTTAATCAGTGGCTGCTTTTTTTCAAGTAAAGGAGGAAAACTGAAGGGAAGATATTAACTCTTTCCAAATCAAAGGACACCTTCAGAGATTATTTTGATTTCTGTGTGTGAGTTTCTCCTGCCAGTGCTTTCATTTAGAACGCCTCAAACAAGACTAAGAAGAGCTGCTCTGCTCTGTGACTTTCATGAGCCACTTTGCATACTCATGGTAATGAGTACTTTTAAAGTCTGTCCACATTTATTTCCTACCAGGATGTTCTTCGTTGCATCCCGTGAGGGTCACCTTCCAGAAATTCTCTCCATGATTCATGTCCGCAAGCACACTCCTCTGCCAGCTGTCACTGTTTTGGTAAATCATACAAAGAAATGTTCCTGCACTAGAATTCATATGATAGGCTTGCTCTGGAGGATTCAAACAGAATTTGGGCACTGCTTGAGTCTCATTTATTAATGTGAACATGGGCTTTGGGCAGGGTGGAGGACAGGAGAAAGAGGAATGAGATTTGGGAGCTGTTCTTATTGTATCATCTCCTTGCTTTCTTGCCTATCACTGCAATCTAATTCATATCTTACTGCTTTGGATTTCTAAGGACCTGCTAGTGTTGAGCTAGTTCCCTTTCAGAGAGACAAATTACAGTTAAACAAACAAAAAAGGGATTAAGTTAACTGAAAGTTGAACTAAACACCAGCATCTGGGAGCACCCTAAAGGCTCATTATACTGCCTTATAGTGACAAATGCAAACAGTTTTGCACTCAGATAATGGAGAGGGAACCCTCAGCTGTCCAGCATTGTGGCGATTAAAAAATAAGAGAACATGTGCCTGGGAAATAGTCTGTGACTTTTCTAGGAAAAAACACTGGTGCTTTAGTGGAAATACTATTACTGACTTCTAAAATAAGTAGCAAAGGTAAATGTTAGCCATGTGTTAGCTTTGCAGACTAATTTGTATGGTAAAATGTTAAGACTAAATGTCAAAATATCAACTTCAAAGTTCAGTTTTACAGTGCGAGGAAGATTCTCACTTAACTTGCAGTCTTGATAGTCATGGGTGTTCAGCCCCTCTTTTGGGATCAATGACTGCAGTGTATCTGGGTAGGCCTCTGCCATATTTGGGGACTTACAGCCAAAGCAAAAGATGCACCTGTGAGTCTATGCTAGTAAGAGCAAATGCTTGTGGAATTTGAATCAGTTTTTGCTATTGATGCCTGTAAGCTCACTGCTGAGTTGTTGGATTTTATGTGTACACATACAACTATAGGCTTTGAAATTTTGAAAATTAGGCAGTGTGATTATGGTGACAAGTTTTAATGAAATCAATTTTCCATAAACATTTAGTTTTAATTTATTTCTTTGGGTGTAGTCATACCTTGTGAGTTAATTGCATTGACTATTTTTTGTGGAATGAAATGCACAAAATGTATTAATACATTATTTTTTACTGACAGACATTTTCTGCTATTGCATATGGTCCTGTTACACCAGTGCATTGATTTCCTTTGAAAAAGTCAGGTTCTCATATGAAGATGGCTTTCCTTCAAAGATTGCAATGTTTTAGCTAACCTTATTGCAAATAGAGCAGTGGCAGGATATAATCTAAATCAATAGTGATTTTAGCATTTCCCTATTTTATTTCTCCTTCCAAGTTCTGCACACTGTAAGAAAGGAAAGAGCTCTTCAGGATAAAGTGAGAAAACAAGCATGTGTTTGAAGCTTGCTAAATTAAAAAACAACACCTTTTTTTGAAATTAAGAAATTTGTTTATGTGTGTATGTTCCTAGAGAAATTTCCCAGTCTGACCATTCACGAGACTTCCTGGCAATCACACGCCCAATGCCAGATCACTGCTGGGACCATAGCCCCTTCACAGTGGTGGCTCTGGTGACTCAATGGGTCACCGCTGGACTCCTGCACATCCTACTCACAGGCCTGGTTTCCCCACTGCTTCAGCCCTGAGTTTTCCATGGCAGAGTATCAGATGTCTCATTCCATAAAGCCACTTAGTCCCAGCACAGGAACACAGAAACAGATGAACCTGTGCCCCTGAGGAGGGGACCCCCAGCAAAGGAATCCCATGGCTTTTATACCCTACATTCTCCCCAGAAGTCTTTTTCTTCCTTCCAAGTCCTTGTTTCCTCCTCCCATCTCTGTGTTCATCCACTTTGCTGGCTTCACCAGTCTTCATCTGCTTTGGTATCCGAAGGGTCAGCAATTCCTGGCTCCTGCTGTGTCACCCATTGTCTCTTCCTCTGGCTGGAGTCACCAGTCTTTCATACGCTTTGTTATCCCAAAGGCTGGCACTTCATGGCCTCTTGTCAGCCTTCCGAATGGATCTATGAGCTCAGTCTGCATTTCAATCTGCATCTTAGTCTGCATCTGAATTCGCAAGTTGAGCTACCTGGACCAGAAGTATTCCTCACCAATGTGAGAAATTTGATAGATGTGTGTAGTAACTCACAGAAGTCATGCAATCTGATTGTAATCCTGCTTTCTTGTGGTTTTTCTCTTCTTTTCTTGTATTTTTTGAAGGAGAGAGGATAGCTCTCTTTCACTTGCATATAGCTTGCATTATAGTTATAACAGATTTTAAACTTTTAGAGGCTGAGTCTGTAGAGAAGAAATCTTGCCCAATATAATTCAGTGGTACCATTTCCCTTGACATTTATGTAGGAGTTTGTTTAATATCTATATGTAAGTAACCAAGGACTTTGTAAGTCATTAAAAGTTGGAGTCCAGAGATCCACATTTGAAATATTGATCCTTCTGATTCAAATCCATGTTGTCTGCACTGCTTTTAAAAAAAAAGGAGAGGCTGTGAATCTAGATAAATCATACAAGTTAATTTTCTCTGTTTAAAGATTTAGCTCAGTGTTTTACTATATCTGCAGCTGATTTCACCTATTGGATTTTTATAAACCTAAAGGCTCTTACTTCCAGGATCTTCCCTCTTGCTGAAGAATGAGGGATATGGGGAATTTGACTTAGTCCTTCATGCCCAAATGCAAAGACATTTTTTGTCCAGATACTACTTTGAAATAGATCCATGTAGCCTTCACTAACCATCTAACTCACGACAAAACACTCTATTTTATACATAACCTTCTACCTGCCTTTCAGAAGCCTTGTATTCAGACTAGCTTTTTTAGGAGAAACACTAGTCTGGTGTCTCCTCTCCTTCTAGCTCTTCTGTAGCTGCCTGAATGACAGCTAAATTCTTCCTTCTGCTTATAAATATTTGCATTTACAATGTGCAGTAAGTCTGCACTCTGCAAGTCTGAAAGGCAAAACTAAGCTGGTGGCAGCCCAGTGTGCCCAGCTGGCATCTCATGGTGTGGAACTGCCCCTTGCCATTTCTTTTTCATCTGCTTTGCTTACTTCCCCTTTGAAGCCTGAGGGACTAGGATGTTTTCCTTCCACAAAACACCTAGAGACCTCTGCTTTCATATGATCAGATGTGACCAAAATTTAACTGTTCTTATCATTTGCATCAGCAATGAGCAACTAAACCTGCAGTGGGCTCATATCCCATGAGAATTCTGCCCAGGATGCTCCAGCACTTTGGTGGTGCAGTCTGCCTGTGTATTTTTGTCTGGGTCACAGGGGGCAGATTTGTATTGACTATGTGTGGCCACCCAGGACAGGTATATATTATTCCAAAGTGATCTCAGGGGACAGCTAGACATTGATCACACACCTGATTGCATGACAAAGGCAAGCCTGAAGTCTGTGGCACTCAGGTGTGTGCATAAGGCTGTGCTGCTTTGTCCCTGTGGGAAAATTTGACATCACTGCTGTAAAATAATAGAGATCGATCTACTGAACCCCTCTTATGCTCTGAATTTCTTTTGCAGCATCCTCTCACAATGATAATGTTATTCAACGGGGATCTCTACAGCCTCTTGAATTTCCTCAGCTTTGCCAGGTGGCTTTTTATTGGACTAGTAGTTGCTGGGTTGATTTATCTCAGATATAAACGTCCTGATATGCCTCGTCCTTTCAAGGTAACATCTGCTCTCTACTATTTTACATGAATCCTCCTTCCTTTCTGTCCTGTAGTCAGATAGCAAAGGAGCATTTTCTGATGTAACTCTTTTTCAGGAAAAACAGATTTAAGAGAAAACAGTGTTTTGCAGTGAAGACAGAGTTTTTCTGCAAGGTCCCCAGTGCTACCCCAGCTGTGTTCCATTCTGGAAAAGAATTCTTGCCTCTTCCCTGTGCTTGGGGGGCAGAGACTGAAGCTGCTGTGCTGAGATGAAGGTGTTTGCTCAGTTTTGCCTGTCTATTGTGTTCAGGCTGTGTGATGTGAACTGTGTGATGTGTGGGAATACCTTGAGCCCTCTGCAGTCACAAAGGGTTCAGACTGCAAATATTGGGGTTACATGTGCCAACCTAATTTTCAGCCAGTCTTTTTATTCTATTTAATGTCTCTTTTGATAAAGGTAGGGATAATTTTACCACCAAAAAGTCATGTCAAGCATTAGAATTTATGAGAGAGAGCATTTATGTCTGTTGGGGATTAGGTGTCCTTCTTTTAGTTCTGGCTCACCTGTGGAATTTTTACCCATTAGTTGCTGGGAAACCCTGACTGTTGGTGCTTGGTGGTGTTACGATCCACAAGGTGGGATTCATGGTGTGGTTCTTTTATTGGATCTTAGAGTACAAAAGATTATCAGCAAACCAAGGACTTAAACAGCAAAACACATTTTATTGAGTGCTCATCAGCGCTAGTATGTGATAGAAGGAAAAGAGGAGAAAGCAAAGCATAAGGAAAAGAGAGTAAGGGGATTATAGCTACCAATGTCGAAGTCCACTCAGCCGTCCAATGACGCAGAGTCTTCTGTCTGTTGGGGAGATCTCAAAGGAAGGTAAATTCGGGGTGTAATTTTATAGTCTTTTACAAAGCGAGAGTCACAGGGCCAAAAACAGAGGAGATTGATGATCATTGTGATGAATTCCATTGTGCAGGGGGCAGGTGTAGGGTACAGAGCAAACCACGTCTTTCAAGCCTCTTCTCGCCAGCAGGAACGAGGGCAATGTGTTGTGGAAACCCATTGTGCAGGGTACCACACAAAAGCCTCTTCTCACCAGCAGGAACGAGGGCAGTGTACTGTGCAACCACCTGCAAGCAGTCACTTTGCAAACATCCACCTCATCTAGGCCTGAACCCCTAAACCAAGTCCCTTGTGATATTCAGGGTCTGTCCTTGAGACGGTTGTGAGACAGATGAGGGAAATCTTCAGACCGTCTCTTATGGGTGGATATTTGAGAAAGACAAAGTTGGGCCCAGGGGGAAAGCGGGGAAGGAAAAGAGGAGGGCAGGGACAGTTTGGTGGGCTTCTTCAGCTTCAGAGGACACTTCACTGAGATCTGTTGCTGTGGAGGGAAGGGAATTTCGCCATCACCCAGACGGAGCTGCTGCTTCTTCTTCTCCTTCTTCCCTCTTCCTTGCTGGGCCTTGCACCCCCTGTCCTGCCGGGACATGTGGCAGTGCCAGCCACCGCCGCGGAGGTGCTGATGCACCTCAGCCACCGGCCCAGGATCTCAGCTCATTACTGCTTTTCCAGCTGGCTGTTCCTCAGAGCCCTGCAGGAGCACCGGGACTGCCCACCTGAGGTGGTTTGTGAAGCAAAGCCTCTCCTCCATCCCTTCCCTTCTCGGCCAAGAAGGCTGTCACAGGGTCCCTGGTTCTGTTTTTTTGTTAACGCTGTAGTTATTGTTGTTTGTGTGCCTTGTTATACATACTAGTAAAGAACTGTTATTCCTATCCCCACATCTCTGCCTGAGAACACCTTGATTTCAAAATTTTGGTGCCCAACAGTGGGGCCTGAGGGCACTGAGAAAAAAAGGTCAAAAAAGGAATAACAATTCTTAAATAACCTAACTTTTGTGTGCTGAATTTAGAAACCTTGTTAGGTAGAACCATGTTGTTGAGCTTACCCAGGTTCGCGGGGCATGTGGTCACAGCTATATTTCTCCCATTTGCTCCACCTTACCTAAATATGGGTCCTATAACTAAGGCTTGTGTGGCTGTTATCCAGTTTGTTTTGTGGGTTGATAAGGTGAGGAATTTGTGAATGTTTAATTTCCTCTGGATGGCGGGCTCATGGTTTCAGAGCTGTCACACACTAACTGGATGGTTTTGGGGTTGCTTTAATAATGGCACCTACTGGGAGAAGATGACACCTGGGGAAATTTTCTCCCAACCTTTCACCCAGTTCCTTGGGCTTACCCCACCAGTTTTCAAAGGGGTAAAATCTTCTCTAGGTGCTAATGACACCATACACTGGCTGGGGTTGCTGATAGGCCTGTTCTACTTAGCATTCAGAGATAAGGGGAGTTTGACTGGAATAAGCACCCTGACACCTACCCCAGAGAATAGGGGTGCTGCCCCAGAGCCTGACACCGCCCCAGAGCCCACCTCAGAAATGAACCACCCAGAGTGGGTGGGGGTTCTGGTGAGGGAGATACATGAGATGGGCCAGATGCTAAAGGAGTGCATTTCCTCAGCTGCTGAGAAACCCTCCCCCTGCCTCGAAGAGGGAGAGTCTGATGGTGCTGCAGTGGAACACGCAGATGTTACAACCGTCCAGGTTGCAGCTGAACCACAAGGGCAGTCACAGCCAGCAGCATTTGCCCTGTGGAAATGAGTAAGTCTAAGATGAAATCACAGCACCCTGTTGATAAGGATAAGAAAGGAGGGCCCTCACAACCCACAGGGGAGCCAGAGGTTGAGATCATCACCAAGTCCCTGATGCACGAGAGCCTCTGTAATCTGCCAAAAGACATTGTGAGCTTGGGGGCATGAGGCTTATGTGACCTGGTTACTTCGGGTCTGGGACCTTATGGGTACAGGCATGCAGCTGGATGGTGGTGAGGCAAAGAATGTGGGACCCT